AGGATTAAAAAGGCTATCTTTAGTTTCATAAAAGTAGCACAGTAGTGTGAACACTGCGTCGTTGTATCTCTACTCATAAAGGAGAAACTTTGCAAAACACACAAAAATGGGATACCCTGACATATACACTTATTGAAAGCTTACGAAATTATTGTATTTATTATCAAATAATGTCTTTGAGATGTGGGTAAAGTTTCAATTTAATCTGATAAGTCTCAGAGATGAGGAAAATAATATTCGAAGAGTCCATTAGAAATATACCGTATGAAAAAAAAGGTGTCAAAGATGGCTGGGAAATGCCAATCGATAATAATTTTAGCGAGGCCAATCTCTAGACGTTATTTACTAAAATTGACATAACTGGTCAAAACTTGTCAAAAATTAATACTATTTATACTAATATACAACCAATATACAAACACTTCCGACTGCAACCCCACTAGTTCCTAGATTTTCTATACTAATAATTATAGAAAGACTAAAATAAATTAGAACATTTCGAGACACACAAACACATTTCCAAAAAAATATTTTTTTCTCGAATTTTAAACTACACCATTTAAAAATGTTTACTCAATATAAAAATAAATTACAACCTTCTTAAGGCCAACTGGCATTAAGCCGTTGGCGTAACTACAGGGGTACCAGGCCCCTCCAGGTACTGCTAGCTGGGCACCCCCGGGAGAAATCTTGAATTTTGACTGAACGATGACTTGACTAAACATTAATTTTTATTTGCTTGTGATGTAGTAAAAATGACTTTTTCCATTTTTGTTTAGTTAATATTATTTTGACCGAAAACTTGGACCAATCAGCAGAAATAAAAGCTCGAATAGAAATAGCCAGAGCAGCCTTTGTAAAACTCAAAAAATGTCTCTGCAGTGGAGACATCAACTTAAATCTTAGATTGAGAATGCTAATGGGTTAAATATTTGCAACTCTACTCTATGGTTCAGAGGCTTGGACACTTAAAAAGACCGAAACGGAGAAGCTTGAGGCATTCGAGAGATGGTTTTATCGGCGTATGCTGAGGATTGCATGGACTGACAAGGTTACAAATGTAGAACTGCGACGCAGAATTCAGAAGGACGAAGAGGTGATTAACACCCTTAAAAAGAGAAAACTTGAGTACTTTGGACACATAATGAGAAGACCTAAATATGCCCTGCTGCAGAACATAATAGAAGGAAAGATAAAGGGCAGAAGGAGCCAAGGAAGAAGAAGAACATCATGGCTCAAGAATTTGAGAGAATGGTTTGGAATGACTTCAAACCAGTTATTCAGAGCAACCGTTAACAAGGTTAGAATTGCCATGATGATTTCCAACCTCCATTAGGAGATGGAACCCGAAGAAGAAGATTTTGCTCTGTTCAAAAAATGTGAGTTTTTATTTGTTTAAATTTGTAGCTATTTAAGTAATCCACGAGAACATGGGTTAATAACCAAGTCTATCAAATTTATTGATAGAGAAATTCATGTAAACGTTTAATTCAAAAAATGTATTTATTTTTAATGATATTCATCTTCATTTTTTTAAAGAACAATATCTCTAGGCCCCCCTTGGTTTCAACCCTAGCCTCCCCTCTCCAGGATGAACTGCTAGTTTGGTTTGGTTTGGTTTGGTTACGCTAATGCAGTAAGCTAAACATCGACAAAACTAAAATCATGTGCACTCCCCCGGAAGATCACAACAATGCTATAAAAATCGGAGAAGAACTATTGGAATATGTGGCGGAATTCAATTACCTTGGCAGTTTGATTTCGGAAAAGGCCAATATTGACTCTGAAATTCAGCACAGGAGTAGTAGCGCCTCAAGAGCATTCTGGAAATTAAAAGACAGGGTTTTCTACAATCATGACTTGAGTACAAAAACAAAACTTGCAGTGTACCGAGCAATTATAATCCACCACCATGTTATATGGGAGCGAAACCTGGGTGCCGTACCGCCGACATATGAACGCATTAAACAAGTTGCAACAGAGATACCTTAGACAACTCTAAAGAGTCCGGTGGTTCCATCATGTCTCAAACGGTCCTTGAAAAAGCTAACTGCGAGAGTATTGAAGTCATGGTCACAAAATCCCGCTTAAGATGGGCTGGTCACGTATGCAGAATGCAAGAAACCCGCATACCAAAATCTCTGCTTTACGGTGAGCTTGTAGACGGTAAGAGGAGGCCGGGTGGACACTGAAAAAGTACAAGGACATTTTCCACGAAAACTTAAAGGGAATTAACATGCAGAATGAGTGGGAAAAAGCAGCTCACAATAGAACTCAATGGAGAAGAGTTGTAAACTCAGTTAACAGCGGCAACCAAAAAGTAAAGAGGCAACAAAGCAATGAGATTTTTGAATGTCCGGAGTGCGGTAGGCAGATAACATCACGTATCAGGCGTTTCAGTCACAGAAAAGCTCGTGAAAGAAAACGCCTTGCGTGACCATCTTCTTTATATGTGTCGAATACTCGTCAGCGAGTAACGGCTGTATGTATGTATGTATGCAGTAAGCACCATTAAACAATAATAAAGTGTACGGGCAAGCTAAATGACATCTAGGGCTCGACCTCGCCAAAATTATCATCGATTGTTATTCGCCAGCCGTCATTGACGCCTTTTTTTCTCCGATCATACGATATAAACAATTAAAGTTACATTCATTACCACTAGTAGCGCTCTTGGCTCGAGGAGTAGTGATCTGAGAGTGAATTTCAGACAATCTGTTCACCGAATTCGTAATACCGTTCAGGATGTTATTGATGGTCCTCACCGCAGCCCCAGAATTGTCGGTTTCGATGGCATTGGACTTCTGACGACTTGGACCTGATTTTTTCACGGAAATAGGTCTAGTTGTTTCTTCGTTACTAGTCGAAGAATGATCTGTAACGTTCAAATGTTTGATTAAAACAAAGTAAAACGGAATATTTAATTATTACTGGAGAGATTGGCTACGTTAGATATTTTTCTGGATTTGTTGGAACTTTTGTTGCCGCCGTACATTTGTTTCATATAATCCAGCTGGTCTTTTAAGGTGTTACATCGAGACTCGGCCATCTCCAGTTGCTGTTCGATGTCTAAAAGTATACAAACACTTAGTAGAAATCATGAACAAATTAGGCAAAGAAAATAAAGTCCGGTAAAAATACGAGAGAAAATCATTGGGTGGCTTTGATAAAAATTTACTGTGGAAAATGCCATATGATATATAAAACCGCGAATATCAGCAAAACCGTTAAAAATTTTGAAATACTTTAAATACAAAAAATATTCATTTTATAATTCTCCATCGATTGAAAAATAATATACAGGGTGTATATTTTATTTAATAATAAAAATTCATTACTTTTATTATTAACCATTTAAAAAAACGAAGAAAAATTATTTTATATTTTAGAAAGTTTGGCCTAGAATGTTGAAAACCCAGTATGATTTAAGTTTATGATATTTATAGCAGAGTAAGTATAGACCATCTAAAGTAAATAATATCTAATATATAGTTTTGATTTCAGGACAGTTCTTATATTTTTAAAACTTTTTTTTTAAGATAGGCTAAAAATAGTATGGTAAACGCCACGAGTTTGGGAGTGATTCATCGGTCGCTACCATGTGAACTAATCTGTTCAAGGTCATAAAAAACTTAATTCCAGTGCTGTGGTGTTTCAAGTCATATAATAATCAATATATAATCTGTTGATAATCAATAATATGGAGCATTCCAGCAAACTGTCAAAAAAGTCTTGTCAAAAGTCTTGTCAAAATATATATTTGGTTATAAATATAAACTGGAATGCCCCATTGGTTGCACTGTAAGCACACCAATGGACTGACGCACCAAAACGAATCAATCAAAGAAACGCTATATAGTATCGTCTTTGTCAATCACACTAACATTTTAGAATAAGTAGGAGGAGCGCAGGCAGATGATTAGACCGGGCCTTTAAAAAATTTACGTTTTTAATGTAAAAATGATAGCGCGGGTGTCGATTCTAACTTCATCAAGCGATGAATCACTCCCAAACATTCGTGGCGTTTACTATATATTGTTTTAGTAGGAGTAAAAATTACACTTATTGTGGCGAGATTGTACATTTGAGCGACATACAGCCGAGGCACAAAAAGATATTTTTACTCTGAATAGAACATGCTATTTTTTTTTAAACGCCACAAATAATTTTTAAACAATTTCAAATTTTCCAAATAATATAAAAAGATTTAAAAGTCATTCCTTGTATACACTTGTATGTAATTATACACATATCGAGAAAATATGGTTACGCTCGTTAAATTTGACACTTTATGTCAGTTTAATAATATATTTTTCATAGCAACTCTTAAAATTGCCTTATATCTATCAAAAATAGTAGATAAAATAGTACTTTAACCGCAAGGGTAGGTTAAATGATACTTTAACAGCGAGGATAGGTTAAAAACTTTATTTCTTCTCGCACGGTTTTTAATTGCTTCCATTTTTGAAAATTTTTGTATTCCTTTTCATAAGTTATTCGGGATTTAAATGGAAGTAATTTGGATATGGCGTTTGTCGCTTCAGCCTGAATATCTGTTGGTAAGGTACTTATTTTGTTTTGAGCCATTTCTGGCTCCAATTCAATCAGCAATCGACACGAAAGAGAATTAAAAAATATTGACTCAAAACTGACAAGAGACAGCTTTATTTATTTGTCAAATTACATAGAAACCAATGCCAGCCCAACACAATAATTTTTCTACCCGTAATAAATTCCTTGAAATAAAAATTTCTGAATATTTTTTAAAACGTAACTCGCTATGGGAAAAAATATTGTTTTATACACGACGATAAAATTGCATTATCGTCTCCCGAAATTAATTCACTCGCGATTTCACGCTTGTAAATTAATCTTTTCGGTCGAAGATAATATGTTATCGTCTATTAAAAAATATTAATTTTTCGTATAATAAACCCTTTTATCGTCTTGTACAAAAAATAACAACTATTTTAGTACTTTAATGCTAACGCGTTAAAATGACTTTTTATATTGTCAATCACGTCGCAAAAATTAATACTTAAGGTTACTTAAATTTTTTGGTTATTTATTAATATCTCTGAAACTATCGACACATATTATTATACACCTTTATTATTATTATATACCTTTACATAATCCGTTATGTAAAGTGAACTGAAAGGAAGCCAAAATGCAATAATATACAAAGTGTTCTATTAAAAAAAAAATCATCTCGCTCCATTCACACTTTTTTGAGCCGCTCTATAAAAGTTAACATATTTTGCTGAAATACATCCTAGTACACACTATAGGTTTACACTTAAACAAAATTCCCAAGTTTTTTATTCTAGGATCTACAGATGCCTGACGCACTATTGCCGAACTCTGTATAAAGACGCCCAAACCTAAGAACAGAGAAACAACGAAGAAAAAATAACAACAACGAAATGTATGACAGCAATTAAAAGAAGATTCTCCAAAAATCACTAAATAATTGACTACATGTGGTAAAATTATTATTATTTTTTATTCTATATGTATATCTAATAACGATTTAAACACCTTTACTAAATCCAACAGGTAAGCCCAGATCTACCTTAAACCTGTCCATTAGCATCGACCAAGAATAAATGTTACGTTTCTACGTCAAAGATGACATCTGACGTCTCAATATAAATATTCCCGTAACAAAATATGGACGCGCCTTCGCCTGATATGGTGGAGCTGCAGCGCAGGCCCACTCCACACCACCGAGACCACGTGCTCATTCTGCACGAGAAACTGGCCAAACGAAAAAAGCGATCGGTACATTTTGAACTTAGCCTTAGCTTACCACCGTCTAGGATACAAAGTCACCATGTTCACCACTCAATATAACAAAGGAGAGTCAATAGAAGACCTGGAAGTAAGTCAAAGCTCGATGTAATACATGAATTATTAGTTTAAAACATTATTTTTTTTAGTATTCAAATAAAGTCGATGTTAAATATTCCGCATGGTGGATACCAAGAAGCTTTCTGGGTTTGTTTCGAGGATTCATGTCGATCTTAAAATCAGCATGGATGGCTTTTAGGATAGTTTTTAACCCACCTAAAGTTAAACCGTCCTTAATCCTTCTGGATATCAACCTCGTAGCTTTGTTCTTGCTTCATTTCTTTAGCCACTACAAACTCTTCTATGTCCAGTTAATGGAGTCGATAAGAGAAAATCCAGAATTATGCGAACACACCAAGTACTTTCCTACGTTATTTGAAGCAAAATGGATTAAGTTGGCTGATATAATTCTAGTCGAAACAGATGGATTTGCTGAGATATTTAAGCAATCGTTTCCAGCACTGAACCAAGACCCCATAGTGCTGTACCCTTCGATTGATATAGGTTTGTGGAAAGAGCCAGCCATAAAGATTCAAAGAATCATTCCAGACCTTCTTGATAACACTACCATTTTCCTAACTGTCGGGAAATTTAGGCGTTCTACTAATTTCAAATTGGCTTTGGACGCGTTTGAGTTACTTTTACAGCTGATCGATGACAGAGATATGACTAGAAGGTTCCAGCTAGTCATTGCAGGAAATTGTAAGACCTTAGACGAAAACTGTACTATAACCAGCTGGTATCCATGACCAAAGAACGTATGTGCGCATCACAGGTCACCATCCTAAAGCAACTACCTGTCGTACACGAGAAAACACTCATCATGGAATCGGCCGTGATGATTCATCCGTCAAAATCAGACGTGTACGCGGACTTTATCTTGAAGGCGATGAGTTTGGGAAAGCCTACCGTGGCTGTGAATAAAAGTATAGCTTCGAAGTTGCTTCAAAACAGAATAACTGGTATTTTAACTGAAGGAGATCCGAATACTTTGGCTCAGGTGTTAAGAAAGTTAATGCAAAGCTCACACTTGCAGACTTTTATGGGTGAGATTGCTCGAGATACGTTCCAGAAGAATTATTCTTTTAATAGTTTTTGTGAACGACTACGTACGTTATCGGTGAAAAGCTCGACAGATATTGTGCAAGAGTTTAACAAAAGACGTAAAGTTTTTTATAAATAAATAAAAATGTTGTGGTATATAATGTTTTATTTACCTTGTAGCCTTATATCGTTGGGATTTTCGGCAGCCATAAGATCATCGTCACCATCTAAATGTAAAAACCATCTGTCACAGGGGAGATATGAAAAATAGCAACACTTACCGTTGGCATTTTGTAGTTCTCGATAGCCCCTGGTGAAAATTTCATCGCTCATAATGTTGAAAAGTTACAAAGCACGATTACAACAAACAAAAAATGGAACAAAACTCTTCATTGAACGCGAAATTATTAACGATAAAAAATTAGTCGCGTAGAGGCATTCTTTTGACAAGTCGTGCTGAAATGTCAGCGAATTTTTGACAGGACCAGGATAACAAACGCACCTAGACTTTTCCAAAGACGCAATTAAAAGGGTGAATAGGGACCTTTTAAAAGAGCTTCATTGAAATTGTTTTTTTTATTGAAAAAAAACCTGGGTATATAACGACTGAAAGAGAAATAAAAAAAATCAGAGATATTTCTAAATTATTTATCAAATCATATCATAATTGTAATAAAAACGTTAATAAAAATAATTACCCGCCATGGGTATTTCAGAAAAGATGTGCCATCTCTCGTGGGGACATTCCTCACGTAAAAATAAGACTTATTTTTCATATCAATATAGGTCCGATTCTGCTTTGTTTCGGAGCTACAGGGTGTAAAAAAGTCTTAAAAATTTTTCGATTTATTATAATTTTCTTCCAAGTACTTTTAGTGAGTCGAATGAAATTTTGAGGGTAAAAGTTACTATAAGTGCTACATATTTTAATGCTAACAAAGTGTCGATAAAGTCATCAGGAACGTGCATATGTGTTATAACTGGAATATTTTTCAAGAAAAACATGTGCGCCACTGACTTTTTTCTTTTGATATCAAAATTGAGTAGGCCGTTTAATGCCAATTAAAAGTGATCTTTTGATATTTTGTCGAATTCGGCCTGCTTGATGAGATAAACGCAATTTTATTAATCACAATTAATAAAATTAAAATAAAAATGAAATTAATAAATTATATATTTTACCTAATTTATTATTAAATATTATTACTATTAGTCCAACCTACAGCAATTTCAAATAAAAAAGTTATGGTATTTAAGATAATTACCATTAGCGTAACTAGCAATTTATATTGGGGTGGGCCTTGGGGCGGCTTGGGGTTGAGTCCAGGGGGGGCCTAGGGCTTTTGTTTTTTTTTAAATGAAAAGTAACTTTTAAAAACACATTTTTTTAATAAAAAGTTTACATGAATTTCTCTATCAATAAATTTCATAGATATGGTTATCAAACCGTGTTCCCCTAGATTACTTAAATACCTACAAATTTTCTAAAAAAAATAAAAATTAACACATTTTTTGAACACAGCAAAATAATATTAACTATGTAAACAAAACTAGAAAACGTCATTTTTATTGCATCACAAGCAAATAAAAATTAATACATAGCCAAAAGTCATAATTCAGGATTTCTCTGGTGGGTGCCTAGCAGTACCAGGGTGGAGGGGGGGGGGCTCGGCACCGCCGGGCACCCCTGCAGTTACGCCAATGATAATTACAAAATACCTAATTTTAAAAAGTTTTAACATCCTGTAACTCTAAAATTATGCATTTCCATACTCATGTTTATAAGAACTTTTTTTCATATTTTTTGATGAAGAATCAAAGAGTACTCATTTAAAACTCTCGCAAGTTAATGATATCAGGGATGATACTAATTTTTTTTAAAGGTTGCATTAGACTTGGATCAAGGCAAATTAAAAAATTGCGCTTATCACATCAAGGAGGCCGAAATCGACAAAATATCAAGAGACAACTTTTAATCGGCATTAAATTGCTAACAGTACTTCGCTAACAAAAGAAAAAAAAATCAGTGGCGTACATGCTTTTTTTGAAAAAACATTCCAGTGATAACCCATATGCACGTCCCTGGTGAATATGGCGACACTTTTTTAACCTTAAAATATGTCGCATTTATACTAACTTTTACCTTCAAAATCATTTGAAACGCTAAAAGTACTTGGAAGAAAATTATAATAAATCGAATAAATATTAAGACTTTAACACCCTGTAGCTAGGAAACAAAGCAGAATCAGACCTATGTTGATATGAAAAATAAATATTATTTTTACGTGAGGAATCTCTCCACGAGAGATGGCATATGTTTTTTGAAACACCCTGTATAGACAAAATTTTAAAAGAAATCTAAAACGCAAACCGGATGCAGAATACATGTAATGAAGACACTACAAAATACAGGGTGTTTCTTAATGACATGGTAATGTTTATGAGGGTGATTCTTGCACCTATTCTAAGAAAAAAACTCCATATCAATGCATGTTCTAAACTTCTTAACTTTCGAGTACAGGGTGGTAAAATTTACTTATAAATATCGGTTTTTCGTAACTCTGATGTTGTTGTATTTCTATTTTCCTTCCAGTCAAAGCAGAAACGATTTTCATTAAATAGTCACCGCATCATATTTTTAACGATTTACCCTGAAGTAAAATGACTATTTTTAAGTCTAATTTTTATCCCACTGGATATATTGGACAATATTTAAATTCTCAGTCGAACCATTCTGAAGCAACCAAAAGAAGTATAGCTAAACATTATCTCATAGGGCAATCACTATATGCAGTGACCAAGTATCTCTGAATTCTGAACTAAGTAATATTAAAACCGATTTGCTTCAGAATGGTTACTCTGCAAAATCCCTAGACAATGTTATATCCAATTGCAAGTTTGACTCATTGATGGGTCAGTCTGAAGAGGATGCTCTCTCTCCTGACGATTCGATATGTGAAAAGGATATCGGTGAAGATTAGGCGAATAGCTAAGCAGTATAAAATTAAAACTGTTTTTAAGCCTGGAACTACTCTAAGAAGTATCCTAACAAAAACAAAACCGGAATCATTAAACCAAGAAAAAGCGTGCGTCTACCATGTACAGTACGTCTGTCCGTTCTGTAGCTAAGGGTTATCCGTGAGAGGGGAAACGATTTTCTCTCGATGATTTTCGTAAAAAAATAGACAAAGGGTCCCATCAATAAAAATTCGACAAATTTGCAAGTAGCCAATAAAATGAGTGGGCGGAGCGATTTGCGGTGACGTACTCGTCAAGTCGACGTATAAAATATATTGCTGTTTATTTAAATGTTTTTTGTCCGCATTCCTTTCATAGACACAGATCCAGCAGACGTACTTTACCTTGCGAGTGCGGTGAGTATCAATATCCAATGAGAGACAAAACGTCCTCTACATGTACGACTTGATGAATATTAAAAACATACGCAAAGAGGTGAAACAATGAAGTCGGGCATTGCAGATCATGTGTGGTCTAAGCACCACAACATAAAATGGTTGGAAGTCCGGTTTGTCCACAAAGAACCCCATTGGAAAAAGCGCATATTTAAAGAGGCCGTATTCATTTCTAACAATAATAAAATCCTTAACAAGCCAAGTATGGAAATTTCAACAATATTGTAACCGCTCATAAAACGCTCTAATGCAATGCAGGTATACTTAGTGGAGAACCCTATGCTTAACTGCATCCAACTAATTCACGGGTGAATTGTCGGCTCTAGTATATAAGTTCAGTAGTTTTAGGATTTAGTTTAGTGTACACTTGATAACGGTCATTGATACTTCTGACCGAAACGTTGTGTAAGCAAAATAAATAAAGACAATGGAAGACCGAAATTTTTTTAGTTTTAATGGGAATTTCATATTGCTGAAACGTCTAGACTATCTTAAAAAAGAGTGGTTTCTGCAAATTAACGATTTTCCAGCATTCATGGGACACAGGAAACTTACTTTAACAATGTAGAAATCATAATAAAAGAACTAATAGCTTTAATTCAATCAAATAAAAGGAATGTAGATGTTACTGTACGTCTGTCCGTTCTGTAGCTACGGGGTATCCGTGAGAGGGGAAACGATATTCTCTCGATGTTTTTCGTAAAAAATTAGACGACGCGTCCCATCAATAAAAATTCGATAAATTTGCAAGTGGCCAATAAAATGAGTGGGCGGAGCGATTTGCGGTGACGTACTCGTCAAGTCGACGTATAAAATATATTCCTGTTTATTTAAATGTTTTTTGTCCGCATTCCTTTCATAGACACAGATCCAGCAGATGTACTGTAGTAAGTAATGCAGGACTTTCTTTAATTTTTTTTTCAAACAACATATTTTGAACTGTAAATGTGGACGCTTTGGCCGCAACATAAAACAATGAATCTAGACGTAATCTCGCCGGTTTTTAATTGAAAATCTAACTGATTTCCAGCGTAAATGATACCTTAAAAGGCTACACAGACCGTCAATTACAATTCCTCATACGAGCAAAATCACGATGCAATTTTTGCAAAATCGCGGCAACGGGACCAGAAAAATTTTCTTGTTTTCTCTATGATTATGCCGGGATCTAACACTAGCAGAAACCAGTGGCGGAGTGCAGTAGTTATCTTAAACCAAGAAAAAACAGTAAACTAAGTCTTTTTGTAGAAGTAGTTCTACAATATGTTCTACTTCTATTTTAAATACTTTTTTTTACAGTTTAGTTAACTTAAATAATAAAACTTTAAATAATGAATAATTATAGCAGATTTTTTCGCCAAATATTTTCAATCGTGTTCTTCAACAGTTATAAGGTAAAAATATTTTGATAGTGTTTAGTCTTAACAGTGTCTTATCCAGTCCAAGTAGCATTTTTGGACACATTTTAGGTAATGTTTCCAATAATTGTGTCTGTTTCTTGATACAAAATGGAATTGGTATGCCACAAATAGGAAACATTTTCGAAACCTATATATTTTATATAGCTTACGTATTACATGTGTTTCCAATGTGGTGGCACTAGCCGTTTCCTGAAATGTTTCGATGCGGAAATGTTTCGAAACATTTTTTGCAATTTGTGTCCAAGATGTTCCCGTTTTCAGTAGCCACTTTTTCTAAATGTGAAAAAACAAAATACCAAACTAAAATAGTATATATCTGGGTGTGGATTTCAAAACGAAAACAACCATCAATAATGTCGACCTCCGCCATAATTGTTTTGTCTTAAAATCTTGGTTTTTAGGTTTTCTCGCACAAAAAATGTCTGGCAAAAGCAAATTTGTCGTTTAATTTAATAATGTACTTTCATATTTTTAATGCCACTTACTCCTGTTGGGTATGGGTAGTGGCTGTTATTACATTTATTCCTAAAACAAATCATCCCTGTAATGCGTATATAATAAATTATTATAAAATCGCATAAGAAAAATATGTGTACTGACCATATGTCCTTCCTTCTGCTTTTGTAATTATAGTATTA